CTTGTAGCGCTCTAATGTCGGAGACCCCCATTCTGAGTTTAATGAGGCAGAACTAAAGCTCTGCTATAACTGGAAAATTAGAGCTTAATGATAATTAAATCCACCGTATTTAGATCTTAAATCTAACAGCTTACAGATTTATCACAGCCACTCCTATCATTTGAGTTGATGATGTAATCCTTTAAAGAAAAGACAAAAATCAGCCAGTCAGCCTGTTTTCCTAGAGAGAAGAGTGAGTTGCTTCGTGCTGTCGTGGGTTCGTCTAGACGTGGTGCTCTGCAGCCCTACAGGCAGACAGCCTATCTATTATTCAGCTGCTGGCAGCCTTTTTACTGCCCCACAGCCAATATTTATTTATACTGCAAGAAAAAATGTCACCGATAATAATGGGCGTTTTATTTCATGTACCAATATTCGAACTTCACAGCTAATCACTTTAGTTTGTGATTAAAAAAAACGCAAGAACAGCTACGTCTGCTCGGGTAAAAACACTCCCATTATTCACCTTTTTGAGACGGACAACCAGTTTACACTAAAAAGGTAGCATAATGACAATTTTTACTTTTAAAACTCAGTTCTAGAGCTCTAGATTTACGAACTGAAAATAGTTTCCATAAGTAATGTGCGGATTGATACTGAAAAACTGATAGCAGAACTTCATGCTCTAGAATTGATACTTGAACCAAAATATCAATATTTAGATACTTTAGTAGTTTCAGGTAATATATATCATTAACAGGAACTACTGAAATCTTCTCTAAATCATTTGCAGTTAATGGAACTACTTTTTCTTCCGCCTGCGTAATGCGTAAGTTTGCATCATACTAGTCTATTGAAACACCTTGAAATGGCCCCCCATATCGTTGAGGACTTCCTACTGTTTCTGACACTCCCATTTCAGCATTTTTTAAATAATTCTTCGGGGGCGGGGTCCTCGGCTGCAGACTGAGCTCCAGGGAGGAGCTTTGTGCAAATAGGCGGAGCTTTGTAGCAGCAAGCATTTGGGCAGCTCCACAGGAGATACAAGGGTTTCTCAAATATGCATGAATGAGTCAAAGCAACACTCTGGGTATGTTTTTAATAAATGATAATAATATGAAGCTCAAAAAGTCAATTTTGCACAAGAATTTATTTGAATGATTTTATTATTTTACTTCATTTTCTGTGAGAACACCACTTTCACATATTTTGTACAACTGTGTCCTTTGTTTTTTCAGTTGTATTAGCTCGGCTATATTAAATCTGCTTCAACATACTTCTGAGATTTAAAAGAATAAATTAATTACTCAGACATATAAGTATTTATACAAAGTATCTGTATCGGATCAGTGTCGCAAGTATCAGAATCGGAAAAGGAAATCGGTGGTGTCGAACACTGTGAGTTCCAGAAGTCCTGCAACAACTCTAACTATTTTAAGGACATTTTTTTGAGACACTTCAGAAACTCTGATTGCAAAATATAGTTCACGATTTCTCACCATTGTTCACAGCTTACGGAAAAATTTATTTAAGGTTAGAATTTGTAATTTCCTGATCACAACCAAGGTGAGGGAGTGGACAGGTGGGAGTCCTCGGGATCTGGTTTCTGCTCTTTGCAGATGATGTGGTTCTGCTGGCATCCTCAGGTCCTGCCGTTTAACACCGGATGCCCTGCCTGACGCAACCTGGGCTCGAACCTGCAACCTCCGGATTATGAGGCTGACCGACAAACTACCCGGCCTCCTCCAAACCAACTCTCTCACAGTTAAAAATATCTGCAGCGACAGGCGTGATAAAACCTAGAGACAGGTCAGCGAAAACACACACACACACACACACACACACACACACACACACACACACNAACACTGGAGAAAGATGAGGTACTTTTCTTTCTTATAATCAACACATAAACATTGGTATGGGTTATTCTGGTGTAAATTCTCAGCCGTACTGAAACACACACACACACACACACACACACACACACACACACACACACACACACGACAGCCTGCCGTCTCCTGAAGTAGCCCAGCCAAAGCCACGGGAGCCAAATGGGTCATTAACCCCTCCCCGTCCTGCTCGCTCTCCTTCACGCCGTCGAGGTGTCAGAGTGACGACAGGGTGCCCCACCCCCCATGCTTCACGCCGGACAATAAACCACTCCCCCTGCCACGCCCAGAGTTTCCATGGCAACCACGGTATCGCTTATCACCCTCAAGCCGTAACTCGGTCTGCAGGTTGTTTTTACAACCGGTCATAAAAACAGAAACATTTCTTACATCAGCAGTAACGACGATTTAATCACACAAAACTCCATCGGGGTGGGGTGTGTGTGTGTGTGTGTGTGTGTGGGGGGGGTGTCTTATTATTGCCCTGTTTCTGAGCAAACATCTGTAAAATAATGACTTTAGATTGTGGACCTACAGATCCTAGGAGATCTCTCCACTCCTACAGGATTAAAATATACCGTCTGATTCCATTTATCCTGGCAGCATCCAAACATTATGCAACTGTGCAGAGCTGCCAAGTACTCATGGCTCCGTTGTGTCCAGAGCTTTGCTTCTTATAGAAACACGCTTTCAGGTGTCTGTTTCATCTAATGTCCAGATATTCAGCTGAGATAGGTGCAACTATTGAATTAATGTAAATTTAGTCCCATTAAAAGGTGAATAACGTCTTTGTCTGTTTGTCAAAGCGGAGCCTGAATCAACACCGAGAAGGACTCCAGCTCCTAACGCAGATAAAACTGCCCAAAGAGTCGTGCTTTGTGTGCAATCGATACAATGCAGCAGATATATGTGCTGTAAGAGCAGCCAAACCCTACCGAGGGAACCAGACGAGAGATCCACGCCGATTTCTGCTGAGCCGTGTGGAAAGATGAGCCGAGTGCATTTCCTTCAGACCGCTGGGGCAGAAACCAGAAAACTGAAGAGAACTTTTTTCCAGCTGCGGATGATGTAGGACCACCTGCATCCAGGAGCTCGCTCTTTAGGTCTCCATTCAGAGTTCAAAACCACAGGTGAGGGCAGGTAAACTGCTTCTACAGCTCACCTCCCTCTTCACCACAAAGGACCGGAACAGAGTAGAACTGCACGATATATCGTCATCACAATGCACGTGTGCGCAACGATCACATACAGGTCCTGTGATGTAGGTGGGTAATTAATTCAACGTGTTATCTCGGGACTAAACCATTAGGTGGCTTTTATTTTGACGGGTTGTATTGTGTCAAAAAAGCTAAAACTTTCATTATGTCGTGAAACTGGGACAATAACGGAAACATTTTTCTAAGAAGTGTTGTAAAACACAGTTAGCATAAATGCTAATATTAAAAGGAAACAGAAACTAAGAGACACAGGAAAAACAATGGTATGGTAAAACAATTTATGTTTGCAGATGATAGAAGGAAACATACTCAGGTCTGAGCACAATTAGAGATAAGAATAACCATCAACCAATAAACATGCTTCTAGGCCTGCCACGATTAGTCGACTAGTCACTATTATTAAAATCATCAATGATTAATTTAATAGTCGATACGCCGTTTTTTTTTTCTAACTTTGTATTTTTTTTATGGCTGACTAATCACTGATTAGTCGACTATAAAAATAATCGTTTATGGCAGCCCTAATTTACCACTACTGCGCATGTGTGTCAAGGACAGAAGGCAGACACAACAGTGGAAGGTGCCACAGCAGTTTGGAGAGAAAAACAAAGTTAGGGGGAAAAAAATGACGCATCAACTATTAAATTATCAACTTTTTTAATAGTCGACGATCATTATGACTAGTCGACAAATCGTGGCAGCCCTACTTGTAACATTAAAAAGAGTTAAGATGGGTGCAGGTTCATCATCAACAAGAAGGCAGCAGAAGGTAAAGTGTTGTTCAAGTTATCTCCTGAAAATTCCTGAGTTTTTTCATATCGCAGGGGTAGAAAAAAAATTGCGATGACAGTTTTTCCAAACATCATGCAGCCCTAAAGCATAAGCTCCATTTTCACCACAATGGACCGGATCGGAGTCCACAATACTGCAGAGACCATGTTGACCCGTCTCAATCTCACACTCCGTTCTTCCCTCACTCATGAACAAAACCTCGAAGATACTTAAACTCCTAAACTTGAAGCAGTAACTCGAGTGTCCTTAAATTAAAAATGAAAAATTTGTAACCAGATGCCATCCCACGGTATGTGTTTACCTACAGAAACAGTTGAAGAGATTAAAAACCGAACTTATAGTTGACGTTTTGATCAAGTATTCTTTTCCTGATATGTCTCACATACCAATATATATATAT